TCCTACCAGTTGTATAAACATAAACCAGTAAGCCAAACCCACTTACTTTCTACCGATCAGAACATCAAACCCAAAAGTGAAGATCCGTTGGAATGTCAAGCGAGGATCAGAATTCAGTTGGGAACAAGAAGATCATGTGGAATCGAAATACTCACCTCTTTTCCTAGTTCCGAGTAACCATTTAGGACTCAAATTTCAGGACGAAATTCCCTCTAACGGGGGGATGATGTCACAACTCCAAATTTTAGACCTGACATGGTCTAAACCCTAATCTAGCTCAAGTAAATCTACATTGCACTCCTTGTTGCATTGTAGCCTATATAACCATTAGGGCTTGTTTATAAGCTAAATAACTAAGCCTAGATTGAAACCTAAGTTAAGTTAGGAAGGTATAATCCAACATTTGGCTAAAGATCAAGGTTTAAAACATAAATAATACACATTAGATGTGTTCACAGTGCAAAAAGTAATCCATAAGCTAGGTTCACGGTCATGGAACCTTCTAAACTTGTGTTTATGGCCAAAGTGAAAAAGGGAAATGTAGTTCACGGATTAGAGAGTCCTTTTATTTATTGTTCACGGCTTAAAAATCAAGAAACAAGGTGTTCACGGCAATGTTGTGACCATGGACATCAACCAAGGCCCAAATTGGACCATAAACCCCAAGGCCCAAGCCCATGTTAAACCGTAAACACCCCTATATATGTGTGTATTCAGCCGTAAACAAATCATTTCTCACATTTTCTTCCGTGAACCCTCCAATTTTGCTCTCAACTATCATCCGTGAACCTTCATAAATTCATGAGTTTCCTACCCAAATCTTCATAAATTTCCAAGAACATTCAACCATCTTCATATCATCTTTAAATCTTCATCACAATTCAATATCCAACCGTGAACATCCAAAGCCTCCAACCGTAAGCACCATTGTCAACCGTAAACCCCATTTTCCAACATTTCCATTTATTCCAAATTAATTCTTGTAAGTATTCTTTACTTACTTAATTAATTAACACTTGATTTAAATTAATATTATTATTAATTTAAATGTGACGTCAAACATAATTATTCTAGGGTAACGTTATTACCGCGTACGCTTACCTGGTGATCGTCTCTACAACTAGCTAATTCCAGCTAACGCACATTGAATGTGAGTTCATACCCCCATATTTTTCCAAGATTTTTATTGTATTTTTTTTTTTTTTGGGGGGGGGGGGGAATACAAGTTAAACACAAGTAATCTTGTGTTTAAAAATATAATTTTGTTTATTATATTTTCTTATTGTTAACATGCATTTGAACGCGAAACTTATTAAACACGACAAACATTGTTACTATTAGACTTACGAACAATTTACAAAACACGTTAAGACTCAACTATTTTACAAGCACATATTTTAACACGGAAACAAAACTATAAACTATTTTAAGTATAGTTTATGGAACGAACGAACTATTTTTACAAAGTTACATGTTATTAACAAAAAGGGGTTTTCATTGTATTATTCATGAATTCGTTGAGGGAACCAATTTGTGAGACATGTCTTCGAGTACTTATCTAAGTACCAAGGGAAGTCTATCCTTAGGAACCATAGTCTCCTGGAGGGATAGTGTGGGTTTGTGTATAGATCTATATAGGACTAACAATCCCGCACACTGACTATTAGCTACAGTCGTTCTGGGTGACAAACGTCATTAACGTTTACGACATTCGAAGTACGTCATAGGTTTAACGTCAATCATCATGGTTATAAGAACTCACATGGATAAAACAACGAATCGTTCACGTAATAATATACTAATCAAACAGTCATCAGGGTTAATAACTATGTGATTATTTAGTATATACATTAGGGTGATATGAAATTAACATCCGACATGCATTGGGATGTGTGGTTTCCGCCTCATTTCCTATTCCTTGTATGGTTGTGGGCTTAGGGCAGAATCACCCAATCGACTGTTTGTTTGATCTAGATTTCTTTAACTCGTATGTACTAAGTGATCACAGGAGGGTATTAACGTCACTCCCAGTTTACAAAACAAACACGTTTTCGGCCAAAATGTTTTTGATTACTAATAAAGCTACACTTTAACAACTTAAGTATGGGGAAATACTTGTACTTTTTAGTTTCGGAATACTAGAGACAACAACTCACTATTTTGGAAAATATAGGATTTTCCAGGACAAACATCAGTACTTTACAAACAAACGGATTACCATTCAGTTATCGAATAACTATGGTTAATTCTATAATTCCTTAGTTTATGCATCCATGTTATGTATGAAGAATATCCGATAGAATGTAGAATGTGTGTTTTCCGCCTCATTTCCTGTTCCTTGTTTGGTTGTGGGCTTAGGGCAGATCCACACAATCAATTGTCCGTTCGATATTGGTTTATACATAGCTAGTATTAGCTAAGTGGTCATAGAAGGATCCGGTATTATCATATTCTTACTAAGAAAATATAGGATTTTCTGAAGGAACATATTCATTTCAACTTAAAGGACTATTACAGTTACTCTGTAAGTACCTAGTGAATACGTCAGGGTTATATACAATAAGGATGTAAAAAACAGTGGGATGTGTGCCTTCCGCCTCATTTCCTGTTCCTTGTTTGGTTTTGGGCTTGGGCCAGAACCACACAATCGACTGTCTGTTCGATCTGGATTTTATATAACTTTTATACACTAAGTACTCGTAGAATGAACTAGTATAAGACATTATACTTAACAATCATTACATCAGGAAATATAGGAATTCCTGGGGAAAACTTCATGTTTTACAAAGAACAAAGAACCCGTTTTCTAAACAAAACACTTATGAACTCACCAACTTTAATGTTGACACTTTTTCAAACCACTTGTATTCTCAGGACACTAGTAGACAGGTACACGCCAGGGTTCCTAGAAGACGGAGCATAGTAGCTTCGAGTCTTTACCTTGCTTCTTACTTTTGGAGTCAGTAATATAAGATTCAAATAAAATGTAAACATTTTAATATTAATACAATGGTTGTTGTTGTTTTATTGCTACTATTCAATTGTTGTGATACTATACATGACGTTCTCCGCCCGCGAGCATTTCCGCCGTTCAAGTTTGGGGATGTGACAAAGAACACTTAAAATTACCACAAAATTACTCATTTTAGAAAGAAGGTTTCAAAACAGAGATATAAACATAGGTATTCCCATGTAGTAGTTTTGTATGATGTAAAAACAATCTATTTCAAACAAGTGAGGGTATGCATATTTTTAAATGCAAATTCGAGGGAGAACATATAGCAGTGAGATATTGAGTTTTGGTTGAGATACAATTTTTTTGTATAATATTCATTTTGAAATTGCATAAAATTTCAACTTCTTATAGCCTAACGTTATTAGGTGTTGACATGGTGTTCTCAAGCCCAAGTAGTTGAGGGTTAAGTTCTAGGTAAAAAGTTGAAAAAATGATATAATTTAAGAGTAGATTAGAATGTGTATGTCGTTCTTACTGCTTCAAAGTTTTTGAGCTTACATCTTAAAGCTTAAACCACATTAAGTAGAGAAAACAAATACTTGATTGCATTAAAAAATGAATTCAATGCTAAAATTATTGAACTTTCAACTATTAATCAATCAATTAAAGTGGTTTTGTAAGTTATGATACTTAGTGGATATTTATGCATTAATCCCAAGGTAAATGTTCAAACTCATGTAATGTGAGGATCTAGGGTTTGGGACGAGCTTCAAAATCCAAAAAATGATGAACCCATGATGGTTAGATGTTGGATTTTGTTTTTTCCAGCATGAGAACTCATATACTTTATAGAATCAAACCCTAATTTATTAATGTGGAGTTTAGTGGGATATGGAGGTTTAGAACTTCATCCATGGTGGAAGACCTCATATGAATGGAATTTGGAGTGTTTGTAGGCTTGGGTTTGTTATTCTCTATCTTGGAATCAAATATCAATATGAATCAATCACCTTACATTAAGAATTATATACATTTAAGTCCACCATTAGTGTTGGATTTGAGAATTTAGGACTTTCATAAACAAATTGACCACATTGACTCCTCTCACCGCCACCTACTGGACTATCACTACTTGTCGGGCCACCACCATCTTGGCAAAACTTTCATTTTTGTCAGGCCACCACCATCTTGGAGGAGCTTTCATTTTGGTGGAGCACCACCATATCATCTTCATCTGTTTTCATGACAAACAACTTCTCGCCGGATCTGGAAAACGAAGAAGGGCGACGTTAGGGTTTGATTCTTGTGAAGACTTTGTAAACATGAGGATGGTGACGATGGAGGCTTGGCGATGGGAATCTGGATATGACGAATAACACATATAGACAATGATAACCGACGTTGTAACTCAAAAACCCTAGTATTATCCAATGTTGTAACTTGAAGAACACGACAAAAACCTAACACTATCCAGCTCAGACTTCGCCGCTGCCGCCGATTTCGCCACCACCTTCGCATATAAGAAACCTTATCTCACGACTTCACGTTTTTAGGTATACAAATTTGTTGTTCGTCGGGGGGATTCTGTAGCTCATAGTTCAACACTTCATCGAAGAAGGAGCGAGAGGAAGCCAACATTGTAACCCAGATCTATACGTTGTTGTTAGCGTTGCCATGTCGCCGCCACATCTACAAACTCGTTATGTTTGCAAAACTCCAATGGTTGGTGATGAGTCGGTAGGGGTAGGGCAGCACAAGTGATTCCCCAGAGGGTGTTAGCAGATCTCCGATGTTTGCAAATCGTCGCCGCCGGATCGTTCTAGATCTCCGATGACTGCTGCGGCGATCATTCGATGGTGAGGATGACAAAGATAAAGATAAAGATGATATATGTTTTAAAGATAAGGGTTAAATAGGTAGGGTGGTTTCGTTTAGTCTTTTTCTTTTTAAATTAGGAAAATGTTAAAAAAAATAATAAAATGGAAAAAGAAAATACCAATGGCAAGTCTGTTATTTAGATATTAAAAAAAACAAAAAAAAAGATAAAACGGCAACAAAAAAAAACTTGTTTTGGACCAATGATGCTAATTCAAAATGTTTTCAATCAACATAACAATTCTCCATTTTTGTAAATTTGTTTTATCCAAAGAACATGGATCACTTTTGAAAAAGAGAAGTAGTTGCATATTTGTATTCAAGTGTTGAGGGGCGGAAGTTTACGATTTAAAATAGTTGCTTACTTGACCACTATATCGTCCTCACTCGTTTTCGCCCTAACCCCAAATCTGACTCCAAATCTGCAGTTAAATCCAGTTTTTCATCATTTCATGAACCCTAATTCATATCGGAATATCCTTCAGGTAATGTAGATTGCATTTTTTTTTTTTTTTTGTCTTTTTTTTTTTTCCCAATCAATCGACACATAAACATGTACCTGCATTTCGCCATCTAATTCAAAATGTTGCATTTCTTTTCCAGTTCATCCCATTTCCACAAGATCACTTCAACTCATGAACTTGCGTTGAATTTATCTCATTGGTATTTTAGTAAAAACCAAGTAGTCCTTGTTAGGGCACAATGTTCTGAATTCATATTGAAGCTATTCAAATATCATGTTTATCTAAACCTGCTCATCTTACTGTTTTTTCATGTATGAAAACCTTGCTCATCTTACCAATTTATGATAGCGATTGTCGAAGTTTGCTGCTTTAGCGTATATTCAAAATCCCTTTTACAAGTTACTGGTATCCGTCTTTAGTTATACCTAATTTAGGAACAATAGAGGCTAAACAAATCAATCTTTACGCAATTCATAGCATTTAGTTTAGTTCTTGAGTGAAAATGACAATGATTGGCTACTGAGATCCCAACTGAAAACTTTATTTTCTTTGCAGAATGGCAGAGCCAGTATCTAGGTCAAAAACATCTAATAACAACCAAACTGATCTCTTCCCTTTTCCTGGTTTTACAATCAACAACAAAACTGATGTTGAAGATCATACTCCTCTCACCAAGATTCCATATGCTTCTGCTATGAAACATCCTGATTCTGCTAAAGAAAGCTCGAGTAGTGCTACTACAAAAACCCCTCCAGTTGAGCCATCTGTATCCCCTGAAATCCAATCCAGCTTGTATCGATCTGTTCATGTTTCAGGAGCTGCACCTTCTACATGTTATGCTGCTGGACATGTGATTTCTGGTGTCACTGACAGAAGAAAATGCAAAGCTAGAGGGATTCTTTCAGCTGGAAGAAGTAAACCCCCTGAACATGACATTTTTGAAAAAACTAGTCCTTCTTTGATGATTCCTTTTCCTACTGAAGCTTCAATTAGTTGGCATTTATCACCAATTTATGTACACAACAATGACAATGACAATGATGATGATGATGATGATGATGATGATGATGTTGGAAAAGGCGATTACTCAAAAGGGTTGTCTTCAGTTTCTCCTCATGATACACCACAAGAAGAGAGAATATTGTCATTGGATTTCAATGGAGAATGTTCTCCATTTTCAGCTGAAATTTTGAGTAGTGGGAATGTTATGCAAACTCCAAACTCAGATTCAAGCTTTGAAGGTGTTCAATTGAAGTATAAGTTTGAATCTGAATTTGATCAGGTGAAAGAGAAAGATGTTCTTGAACATGAAAGGTTAACTCCTAAAGGTAACTTATCACCATGGGACCCACCTAGGTCAAGTTCTGAGTTTTCAGATCTATCCCCACTTTCCAATCCTGCAAACACTAGTCATGAGTCATGGATTTCCAACTCAACTTTGTCAGAATCACAGATGCGTGTATCTTGGAGAGATGAAGTCACTTTTGATAAAGATGATTTAGATTGCTGTAGATTGTTGTCAGATGAAGAAATTGATGAGAATGGATTGCTGAAGTCTCCTAAGTTGTTTGAGCATCATGGAAAGGAGAAAGAAAGTTTGTTTCCTACTCGAATCAATCCTTGTGAGGAGTCTATATGCACTGATGATGGTGGATTGACTATATCTGTTGACTCAGACTGGAGTCTACACTACAAAAAACCAGTCATTTGAGCTTTAATGGTTGCCTTCGATTTTTATGTTCTTAATTATTTACATATCATCTTTTTAGAATATTAGCATATTGTATTTTCACCAACATTGATAAACAAGAATGAATTGCTTCAAAAATGTAAACAAAGTCAAGTTTCATTTGATCATTTCGACATTTCCCTCTTCGGTTATTTCCAAAATACAAGAAACAACATAGTGTAAAGATCTAAAAACTACATATCAAGAAACTTAAGTAATATACATGGTACATAATACATACACATTCACAGTTTACAAATCTATAGGAAAAGTAGGATCGAGGTCAGTGATAGGAAACAAAGTTGTTGTCTTATTGATATTGTAAGCTCGAGTTTCATCATGAAGAAGAAGATGATCCGTCTAAATTTAAATTTGATCTCCAATCAAGATTTTCTTCGGTATAATCTTTATGTAATTCTTCCGGAGGGATAAAACAGTCCATTGACAATCCAGGGACATTGAATGCCAAGTCATCAATTGTCCACTTCTCCTCCATCCTAGTGATAACGGGTCCCGCCCTCAAGTTATCCCCAAATCTTGTGATGATCACATCTGATTGACCCGAATGTGCGATCATTACACCTTCAGTGAGTCTATAGTCTTCAATTTTTGTTGCCATGTAGGTTTCCCAATACATAGGGAATGAACCAGGGGTTTGAACCCTAGTTAAGTAAGAGTCTTCTAAGTGCACTAGTAAACCGTTCTTTTGGCTAAAATAACCAAACATTACATGCTTGATCATTTCTGCTGTGTTGTCACTTCGGTCTGCCAGGTCAACATCATCTGCTGATATTTTTAAAACGAAGCAATCCACGTCACCAATTTGTTTTTCTCCCATGTATTGTGCTAGGGAGAATACACCTGCCACAGCCATAGGATCTAAGCCCTACGAGTTAACCAAAAAAACATGATTAATTTCATCTTTGATATAAGTTTTGGACCTTCGTGACCAAAGCTAATAGTCCAGGGACTAAAGTCGTATTAAGCAAAAGTGCAAGGAGCTAACATGAAATTTATACTTATTGCATGACTCATAGTCGAAAAGATAACTACTTAAGTTCTAGTACATCTTAATTTAAAAGATTAGCAAACTTTAGGGACTAAATCTGTTAATTGTGTAAGTATGCTTACCATCCTCATACATTGAACTTAATTTAAGAGATTGGTAAACTCTAGGGACTGAAGCTGTTAATTCGATAAGTTGGCGGACCATCATAGTCATTAAGCATTAATTTAAGAGGTTGGTAAACTTTAGGGACTTCATAATATATTGAAACTTTAAGAGATTGGTAAAGCTCAGGGACTGGATCTGTCAATCTGTAAGTATGTGGACCATCCTTGGACATTGAAAATTAATGCACGAGATTTGGAAAAAATTTAGGGACCAAATCTGTTAATTTTATAAGTATGGACCATCCTAAGATATTGATATATTAAGTTGATCCGACGACAACGAGAACCGTTTGGAAAAGAAAAGGTTGTTGAAGAATATTGATGTACCTTACAAAATGGGAAAATGACATATCATACCCACCAAAGTGGGCCACTTGCTAAAGCTGTTTCCCACTTTCCGAATTGCATATTAAAATATCTAGTTACACCATAACTGAAAAACCTGACTAGTCTTAGACTTATATTGATTCAATCCTAATCTGATTCGGTTCCATTAAATTAAAGATATTTTTAATGGAACCAAATTAAAAAAAAACCCGAATTTTATAAAATTTAGAGACGAGAATTGAACAAAATATAAAATGATTTTGTTTTTCGATTTTATCTATTCGAATTGATTTTTGCAAATCCCTAGGAATTATGTTAATAAAAGATGAGGGTCCCATAGTGACATTTCCCATTATTAGTAAAAGAAAAAAAAATTCCAACAATACTCAAACAACAAACATTTTTCGATTTTTTCTAATAATAAAATTTTGACGTTATGCTTATTTAACGCGTTTTATGTCGTCATCGGATATATATATATATATATATATATATATATATATATATATATATATATATATATATATATATATATATATATATATATATTTGCTTTTTAAGGCATGAACTTTAGTGTTTGTTAAATAAATTTTCATCATGATTATTTATCATTTTCATCTCATAAAGAATTTGTAAAAATATTATTAAATTATATTCTTGCCTGAAGAGCACGGCGGAGAGGACGAACACCACCTTTGGCGGCATGAGAGCCTAACCACGGTGTATGCCGCCAAGCAACATTACCATCACTTCCGGCGACCACCTTATTTCCGCCAACAGCAAGCTCAATTAGCCACTTATTTGGCACCATTTGCCACATAACAAAGCAACCCTTTTGTGGCACTCCGATGTTACTAATGGTATTGGTGGTGGATCCATTTGGGCTGAGCTCCTCCACCATGGCCATGGTAACTTTTCCGGTGGCATACATGTTCCTTACTGTTCCTTCAAGTTTCCGGCAACCGGTGGCCGCCGTGAAATGTTGTATTATGTATTGTGCCGATGATGAGACCTTGTAAAACAAAAAGAATTAGAATGTCAAACTGATTTTTCCTATAAGTTCTGAATGGATAAAGTGGTAACTGAATAGATAATGATATATGTCAAGATAAAGTCTTTTATGCATAAATGTTTTTTTTCTCTAACTGTTTAAATGAGACTAAATAATTATACTGCCGTTACATTCCAATAAATGTTGTATAATATTTATCATTTTTAACGTAAGAGAAATTAAAGGGTTAAGACAAAAAAGAAAAAAGTTGAAGAGTAAAAAATGTGAAAAAATGCAAAGGGGTTGGTGTCCTCTAATACATTAAGTATTAGAATAAAAAATGGAAAAAGTTGAAGAGTAAAAAATGTCAAAGGGATAAACTGTTAGTGTCTTAATGCATTAAGCTATGTTTTTTTACTTACCTATTAAGTTATTATGATCAAATTAAGTATGTAAAAAGAAACAACTATATATAGTTACCAAAAAAAATCAAGATTACGTATTTAACACATTAGGGTTATTAAGTAACAAAAGAAACAACCCTAAATACTTTTAGTTTAGTTTGGTTTTTTCAAGTTTGTTTTCTACTTTTAAATTTGTATAGTCTTAGTTTTGTTTAGCAAAAATAAAATAGTTTATTTAGTTTTGTTTAGCAAAAACAAAATAGTTTATTGTAATTTATTGTTTGATAAAATCATAAAACTAGTTTATTTTATCTTATAATTTATCTTATAAGCTAATTTTTGATAAGCTACTTCATATTATTTTACATTGCAATTTAGTTTATTAATAATTTTTACCAAATATTATTAATTTATAAACTAATTAATCAGTTATGAGTTAGTTTTTCAATTAAAAATAGTTTTTACAGCTTAATTTCTTATTAGATTTCTTCATTAATATAAATACCACTCGCTTAAAAAAATAATACCCTGAAAAGTCAAAATGACTTGAATGTTGGTTGAAAAGTTAGGTTAAAAATTTATGTAGTTTTTTGGTTCATTTAATAAGGCACATATATTGACATTGACCGGTGGCCAGATGCAAAAAAACAAAAATGGTAGGGGTCTGAATTGCATTTATTAATACTTTACACAACCTCTTTCTCTCTCTATGTATATATATAACATTAGACTTTTAAGCCATGTCCAAAAATTGACTTCAAAGTTACCCTTTCTATTTATTTTCTTTAAACTTGCACATTTTAATTCTAATTTAAGATTCGGTAAGATCATCAAGATGAAGAAAATCTTTTTATATCTCATGCTTTTTCTATTGAACTTCGAATAAATTATGAGCACAAAAAGTGAAATGAAAGAACCAACCTCCCATAAAAAGAGGATCAAGATTCCTAGTCCATGATGATCAACAAAGTTTTCTAGTTTTCTTTTTCACCCAAGTATCATTTTATTTAACAAAACATGGTACTTGGTTCAATCATTGTGTTTAATTTTGTATAATATTAAGAAAAGATTACAGTTCATATAAAATTAATGATTTTTAGATAAATTATGAAAATGTAACAAAATAAGTTCTTTGTAATCAACTTTTTTTTTGTCTAACATTGTTTGTTTTTACAAAATAGGCTTTTTTTTTCCTATTAGATAATTAATTATTATACAAAATCAGTCGCCATTTATCAAAAAAAAAAAAAAAAAAAAAAAAAAAAAAAAAAAAAGAGAAACGTCAAGATTTGTTTAGTTATAAATATCTAATATATAATATCCCAACACCTAAAAATGATTAATTGCATGTGGAAGAATAATAATTTAGGAAGATATATGCAAAGACTATAGAAGTTTACTTTCAAAGCTCAAAAGTCACTACAAAAGAATCATGGTTCCATAGAAAAATGCAACACCAGCAATACCAAACATTAAAAAAAAACGTTATAAACTTTATTTAAACAAATCTAAGAAAAAGATAATGTGAAAACATGGGATACATGAATAAAACATAACATATGATAATATTATTTAAACATAAATTACTTACACAAGAAGAAAATAGTTTTAAATTTTTACGAAATAAACCGAAAGTAGAGATTCGCATAACAAGACACGGTTAATTTGTCCGAACATGCATCCGTAAGAAGACATATATTCAAGAAATATTAATTGCGTAGCTAGATGATAATAACACAATCTTAGAAGAAGATCTAAACATTCTTTACTTTTTGCAAAACAATATTCTAGAAAATTAGAAAAAGAGAAATCAAACATCAAAACGAAGGGATCATACAAAGTTATAAACGATAAATATATTGGTTAATTTTATATGAACATGCATTAGATACCTGAGAAAAAGGTATTTTGGGAGGGAGGAGGGAGACAGGAACAAGAGGGCAACCCAAAACACTTAGAAGAATGTTATGATACTTGATGGATTTGTGTTTATTGGCCAAAAAGATATGAGTTTTGAGCCAATTACGCCATGTTTGAGCTTTCTTGGATGATGAGGACCATATGCTATGATGCTTGTACTCTCCATCTTCATCTACATCAATGGGTTCTTCTAATAGTGTTGCCAAAGGCATCCTCCTGCTATTACTATTACTCATCTCTCTCTCTCTCTCTCTCTCTCTCTCTCTCTCTCTCTCTCTCTCTCTCTCTCTCTCTCTCTCTCTCTCTCTCTCTCTCTCTCTCTTCTCTTTCTTTCTCTCTCTTGAATTGAATTGAAGATGCCTCAAAGTAGAGACCATCACTTAAATGCATCTCACCACTCCCTTTCCATTCCTTTGTGCACGTGCATCTCATCCCCCCTCACTCATAAATCATTTTAGTGAAAAGAATGAGGTTATTGTTTAATAGTATAGTTTTTATATTATATTTAATGTATAATAGTATCGTTTTGCATATTATTATTATTGTTATTATTATATAAGTTTTAATCTGTTATTTCCCTTATCTAAATGGGCCATTGAGTGTCTGGATTACGTGACACATGATATTCGTTCAGGTTAGGATAGTGTGGCTCAATTGGGTTGTCTGAAATCAATCTTTTCGGGATTTAAACAAAAAAATTGAACAAAAAAATGTTGGTGGACAAGAACATAACCAATTATATTTATCGAACATGTTTCAACCTACTATCATATTTTTAATGATATGTTGCCGAAAGAAAAGTTCTTAGATTTTATCAAGTGTTGTAAATATCTTGTTATTACGAGGTCTCTTTTGTATGTTGACAAGAGAAAGCATTGACAATCATGTATCATGTTTTTCAGTCCTGTTGTGTGTTTTAATTAAATTAATATGCATGTGTCGTCAAATTGCCAAGGGAAAAGACTAACTATTTATTATTTGTATTAAGTAACATGATTAAAATTGGACAAACGTTTTCTAGTTGATATGGGTTCGAGGATGTATGTGCATGATTAATAAATCATACATTTTAATCATGCAAATGAAGAAAGTACATAAGCTTTGGCGTTTTTATCTATTTTTGGCAATTTAATTGAAGTGAATTAGTCTTATAAATATCACATGTTTGGTTTTAGTGGCAACTAATCATTAACTTGTCAATTAACAAAAAGAAAACAAGAAAATGCATCTAGATAATTAGATAAACAACTTTTTGCAATTTTAAATTCTTAAACAATTGGTATAGGTTATCGGATCGGACAATTAGGATTGATAATCAAGTTAAAAATTTTAAAACAACAAAGATTTTGAATTTATATATCATATAAGATATTTTAGTTGACATGAAGTGATTTTTTTTGGAAAGAAACCTTCCTTAATGAGGGTTTCTATGTGCCAGCTTTCGCACCGACTAATCTTCCGCTACGAATATAAGGTTATCATTTATCATTTATGTTTTAAAATCATTGTAGAAGAACCTTTATGATCACATGGACTGAGTAGTGAATTTCTATTACGTTAAATGTAATCTCTTAGGTCATTTATAAATTAAAGCTATTGGATAAGAGTATTTGGGTTGTTGACTAGTACATCTGGACAATCTATGGTACATGATTTCGACAAAACGAAATGAATATGAGGATCTCTTTTGATACATGTGAAAAAATTGTACTCTTGTTACAATAATACATGTATGAATAGACAATCACCGAACAAAATGCAAATGACTATGTTGTTGATTTAAGTTTACATTATTTCTTTTAATGTTATTTCACTAAAGACCATTTTAAATATTTAATTAAAGGTTAGATAGTTTCATTAAACTACATAGGACGTTTATACTATAGTTTCCATGATACTTATTGTATACAAGTATATATATATATATATATATATATATATATATATATATATATATATATATATATATATATATATATATATATATATATATATATATATACTTATTAAAATGTCCAATTTTAACAACATATTTTACAAGTGATTGTGGATTATTATTTAAAAGATAGTTCCACCTTTTGTTAAAGACACAATGTAACTTTTCAATTTTGATGGAATATGAATATCGTTGGTGTTAATAATAAGTTCTATTGGTTTTGATAAGAAAAAAGTAAAAAGCAGGAACTTTTTGATATAAATTCGAGTTTATGGGTGTACTAGAAAAGGCACAACACCTCCCATATGCACATGCCCCACTCTAAGGACAAAATATGAAAATTAAGTAATACTATAAGGACTATTTTTGTAAATTGCTCAAAAACGACTTTTAGGATGCCTAGGAGACACACTCCAGAAGGAGAGTGACAAGAAAAAAAATAATTAAAATAATGATATTTCTAGGGGATGTCTATGGTTTCAATATCAAATCGAAATTGACCAAAACATGAAACCTATAAACCAAATCGATATTAGGAATGCGTTCTGGTTTAGTTTGGGTTTTTCAAGTATAGAACTGGTACGACCGAATTATAGGGGCTGTTTGTTTTAGCAGTGAAATAACTGATTTAGATTATGGAACCAGAAACCCATGGGGTTGTTTGGTATTTATATTTAAATGTAGGGGTTGTTTGGTCAAATGCATCAATATTGTGACATTCTTGAGGAAATACCGAAATAGACACAATAATCGCACATAATAGAGTTGGAGCATATTTAATTGTGATCGTTTAACAATAGGTTTGGAAGAGGGGTATAAGTCACATAAAGCAAAGAAATAAAACAAAGGGTTTGTACTTGGATGAAGTCGTAATCGATAAGGGGAATAAATAGAATGACTTTTAAAATTATTGTTCTGGTTCCAAGTCGAAAATATCCAATAACGAATGGGTCCAAACCGAAATAACCAATAATCGAAAATTAGGGTCTGAAAGAACCGATAATCGAACTAAAAGTTGTAGCTTGGTTTCGGTTCCTATTCCGATTTGTTTTTCGGTCAAAACACTTATAATCCGTGTTTAATTAATCGTAAATTTGTTAATATTTAAATGATTTTATCCTTACTGTTAATAAATAATTCAAAAAAAGAATAAAAACAAAAAACAATTTCTTTAAACACGTGTTGTGTTGTCGACATGTAATTGTTCATCAGGAATACTTGATACTAACAATTCATGGAATATTATTTAAAAAATACAAAATTACATAAATGGTTCATGAATTTTTTAAAATTATTAGTTTTTGTCCCTAACTTTTTTAGTTGCATGGATGGTTTCAGTGATTTTAATTTCTTAAGGATGTTTAGTTAAACTTTTAAAATAACTTCTGATTTTTCTTTTAGAAAAAGTCAAAAAGATGTATGAGAAGATGAAAATGACTTTTGAAAATGATTTTTTCAATAAAGTAAATTTGGTCTTTTTGAAAAATCAGGAAATCATGATTTTTCTAACTTTTCAACAGTGTTAAACATTAAAATTACTTTTATATCTCCATGCTCCCCAATAAATATGTAAACATGTTATTTTTAGTCATTTTGCATGTAAAAATTAAACCAAATACTTTAAATTTTGATTTTTTACTCTTCAAAAGCTAATCCAAACACATTTTAAAAAACAACTTTTGTAAAAAATCCTTTTACTAAAAAACTTTTACCACACAAAAACTACCCCAAACACCCTCTAAATCCTTAACCCATATAAAATGATGTTTATACCTTTTTATTTATCTTTATTTAATTGTTTGGAGACATATAATAATTATATATTAAACTTAAAAATCAGTTGGGCCCACTACCCTCACTCTTTCCCATCTAACCCCAACCTTCCCCTCCTTTTATTGACAATCAAATGTTTTCTCAATCCCATTTCAATTGGTCCTTCGATGAATCGATTCCTTCAACCCCGAATTGACGCCTTAATCTAACCGTCACTTTCAACCTCTGATGGATCGATTTGTCTGAACGTTATTTTTACCCTCTAACCGCTTCTTTCCTCTGATTGATGTCAATAATATCCACTCTTTTTCCATCACTAATGCCTCCTCCCACCACTGATAATACTCTTTTGGCCACCTCTCATGTTCTCTTTGCCTTCCGCTTCCGCTGATATGAGAACAAATGAAATTGTTACATTTATATGTATTTATTTGTATGTCTGGATGTTTAGACATCTGTTTAAAGACATATCACAATAAAGGATAATGAAATTGTCGGTGACCATGATGAAGAAGACGGAAATGAAGGTTGGGTGGGGGTGGCTCACAACGGTGAAAGGATGAGTGGTGTTGTTGATGTTCATGGTAACCAATTATGTAATTTCACTTAGTTCTAATATAAATTGCATTTTAAAAAAAAATATAAAAGTCTTTTTGCATGAGTCAGACACCAAACAGGCAAAAAATTCAAACCATTAGGATTATCCACCAATAATTAAAATGTTGGACTAAATACAAAAATTCAGCAATACTCTAAGGACTATTTTTGTAATCTTGATTTTAAAATGACCTTTAGAATGCATGCGAGGCACCTCAAGAAAGAGAATGTTAGAAAAAAAAATATTAAAATAATAATAATTTTACTGTTAATCAAGTTGTTAAATGTTAGTATTTATAACTACAACAATTTTTTTTATCATGAGAGACTAAAATGGTTTCAGTGGGAATTGATAACTTACAAAAAAGAAAAAAATGAAATTTTACTATAATAAAAATAAATAAACAATATTTACGGCATGCAATTGTTAACGAGCTTTCATGATGGATATCGCCATATCGGGTTCACTGTAAAGTAAACATCATGGTCAAGATCCACGAGTGACAACACTTCGTTTAAAAAGAATGAGTGATTGAACTTTTGGAACATTGTTTATGAGTATATTATATAAAACGTAAATATTATATTTAACAAAAATGAACACTTAAAGACAAAATAAAATAAATGACTGCTATGTTAGAAATACTCGGGAAACTACATATGAAAAGATAAAACTTGAACTTTTTGATTTTATTTTATTTTATTTATTATTTTTTTTAAGTTATTAGGATATAGTTTTAACCATATGGATATGTTGAATTGAACAAATAAAATGTGTTTTTTCCTAACATATATGACTTGTCACTCGTGTAAAATCATGTATGATTAGAAACTATAGCATTTGTTTGGATGAAAATTTATGTCAGACTTTATACATCGACTGTATAAGTCTTGCTTAAACAATATAACTTTTTAACTGATAAGGGTTGATAAGGGTTAATGTTATAAAAACCATCAAGTTTCCAGGTTTTTGTTGGTTTTATTCAA